AGCAAGAGGTTCCCTTCCTCCCAGACCGATGTTTAGTTCCCCTGGTTTAGTAATGGATTTGTCAGCTGATTAGTCAGCTGACGAGCTGCAGAAATGAGAACGTGACCTTGTAAATATCTAATATTTCATCCTGATCTCATTAGGAGCCTCTTCCAGCTCACTCCTTCCTCAGAATATAGATTTTGTTTATGCCTATTAAAAACGGAATATGTTTCTACATAAGTAGTGCAAGGCGCAAGACTGGGCAAACGTTGGGCACCTTGTTACCTAAGAAAAGATGATGAAACATTTGTTAAAATCTGTGTATCAGGGCAATTTTTTTAAAGAGTGTGATTGTTGTCTTTTCATTAATTTGTTCATGTTGGCACAGCTGAGAGAGGGAGAAAGATACTGTAAACGTTTATTCATCTAGCTGTAGGACTTAAATGGCTTCTCCTCTTGCATTATACTTACATGTGTTCTCACTGGGAGGAGCAGTTTTTAGTGGATACACATCTCTAAACGACAAGATAAGTAACTGGGGTCACAGATGCAACCAGAACCATCAGCCAACCATGCAAGAAAACATCAACGTTTGGCTGGCGCTGTTTATTAGTAAGATCCAAAGGGCAGTTTTGTGTTGCAAAATGCTGCAGGCTATAGGATAACTTGATAAAAAAAAATGCATGATAAATACATGGTAGGTTTACCGTAAATACAGTATATTTTCTCAGCCAAAATCTGTTTGATGTTTCGTTAACACACAAGAAGGGTTCTCCATTTTAATGCAAATACTTACCTAGATAACAAATGATGCATTGATATTTTGGGGAGCAGGAAAGCTGCTAAAGCGCACTTTCCTGAACCAAAAAGTAAGTTTCCTCCATCTTCCATACTTGCCCTGCATGTGATATTGAGCCTATGGCAGTATGGCGAAGAGGACCCAACGACATGCGTATATCGTCCCAACTTTTTTAGATTAAAAAAATTGGATGCATGTCTTCTGAGACGTTCTCCTGGGTGGGTCACATGACCCACACTGAGATCTAAAGGTAAAGGGACCCCTGACCATTAGGTCCAGTTGTGGCCGACTCTGGGGTTGCGGCGCTTGTGGCGTTTGCCCTCCTAGGTGACATCATGCTGGGTCATAATGAAAGGGTTAAATGAGTGTGAAGTGATTGGCCAGTGGGAACCCAAGGGGAGGAGTTAGAGTTAGAGTTAGAGTTAGAGTTAGAGTTGTCGAGGGTCAGTTGGGAGTTGGAGAAGGAAGAGGGAGGATAAATCTGTGGGTTGGTCGAGTTTTGATGTGAGAGAGTGAGAGAAACTGATAGGAGGAGTCAGATAGACAGTTGGGATAATCAGTTAGCAGTTATTAGGAAGGTATAGGCTGGTATAGAAACTAAGGATAAGAAACTGACAAGAAAAATTAACTGAAACCATAAACTTGTTCATGCTTATAAAATTTGTTTTAATGTTAACAACTGTCTAGACTCAGTGTGTACACGAGAGAAACGGGTTGGTGGCAGCGGGAACGTGATCATAGTGGTGGCACAGGGATCAATAGACCGTCAAACGTCTGGAGACCCTGTGTGATCGCCACAGCACTCATCTCGCTTTATTGGCCAAGGGAGCTGGCATACAGCTGCCGGGTCATGTGGCCAGCATGACTAAGACGCTTCTGGTGAACTAGAGCAGCGCACAGAAACGCCGTTTACCTTCCCGCCGGAGCGGTACCTATTTATATACTTGCACTTTGACGTGCTTTCGAACTGCTAGGTTGGCAGGAGCTGGGACTGAGCAACGGGAGCTCACCCCGTTGCGGGGATTCAAATCGCCGACCTTCAGGAACTGGCTGAAATGACTGGTAGAATCCGTGACCAGGGAGAAGAGTCGACGGAGGAAGACTGGAAGAAATTCAAAGATTATCTTCAGAAACACTGCAAAATTAAGGAATGTTAGAGTGATGTTGGACTGAAAATAAGTGGTTTCCAGCTGCACAGGTTAAAGTTATGGAAATTTGATATTAAAAGGGAAAACTTTAAAGTTATATGATATTAAGACTAAGGACTAGGTTTAAAAAAATTGAAGTTATATATTTTAACATTTTACTAAATTAAAGATTGGGATTAAAAAAAAGTGGAAAAGAAACTGCTGAACAAACAATGTGGACTGGAATACAAAGGAGGGAGGTTTGAGGAAGTCTAGAAAATAAGTTACGTAAAATTGGAAATGGAAAGAGAGTTTGTTTTTAATTGTTGTGTTTTGTGTTTTTATTGTTAAGTTTTGTATTATTTTTATGTGAGTT